TTTTTTTTTAATGAATTTTATGTTCATTTCTTGTTATATTAATAATTTTTACTGAGAAAGTACTTCACATTACTATAATATAATTCTATCAAATTTGTTGTCATTTCTACACTCTCTCAGTTTTTTTTTTTACAAAATGTACAGAGAAGTTTCTGATCATTATAGTTAATTTTTTCGACCGCTATGTTACACAGAAATATGCATTGAAAGGTTAAAGGAAAATTTAATTTGAAAATGTCTCTATAAATGCTCATGAATTTGAGACCAGTGTTGCTGGATGGTTTAACAGCTCCAGAAAATATGAAAGTGATTTGCAGCATTCTGCCACATCACCAGCAGGTGTCGCCATTTTCCTGATATCTTTTTTTACTCTGCAGTTATGAAAAATCTAATAATTCTTTTCCAGCTAAATTCAGGCCAAACTTTCATCTTCCTGTTCTTGGTATTTTATCGATGCGATCCCAATCATCCTCTGTGTGCTCTCCTTCTTACACCACAATTAATTTTTTGTCATTGTCAACACATTTTTGTCAAATCATAGTAAATAGTAAATTTATGTGTGTCTAACTAAAAACTTTTTATCAATATAAGGTTGTCTCAAATTCTTCCAAAACTCATCTTCAAGCTGTTTTTTTTAATCATTGTTTTTCATTTGATTCCATGATTTATTAGCTGGAATTGTTAACATATGTTCTCCTTTCAGACAATGTTGAGTTCAGACGTGTTTCTGACCTAGAATCTGGTTTATTGGTCGCTGATCTGGTTTCCTGTGGTTCAATCCCCATGCAGGAGCCGCAGGCCTCCAGCAGGGGGCGGCAGAGCTCCGCAGCTGTCAGCCTGCCTGCAGCTGGCCTCCCCATAGATATCCATCTATGGGCCTCCCTGTCTGCCATCGATCCGCTCCTGCTGATCTCCTCCTGCTGCTCCTGCTGATCTCCTCCTGCTCATCTCCTCCTGCTCATCGCCTCCTGCTGCTCCTGCTCATCTCCTCCTGCTCATCGCCTCCTGCTGCTCCCAGCCGGTCCACATGGGTCACACGAACGCGCACAGTCTGATGCAGAGCAGAAGCGCGCACCCAGCAGCCTTCCTCTCGCGCCTCATCAGACGGTTGGAGGGGGAATCCCACAGCGCGAGGTGGGGGTAGGGGGGGCGGGACCACAGCCTGTGAGTGCGCGTGCAGCACGTGGAGCCTCAGACAGATCCGGACCAGGACCAGGACCAGGACCAGGACCAGGACCAGGACCAGGACCAGGACCAGGACCAGAACCGAGCCTGAAGTCTTCATGTCCCTGCGCGCTCACATCAATAACGGACCGTCTCGTGCTCGCGCATCTTCCGGCCGTGAGGCTCTGGTCCGCGCGGCTCCTACCGGTCCAGCAGGAGCTGGTGGCGGGATCAGGGACCGGAAGTGCTGATGACCTCCAGTTGCTTGGATCACTTTGATGGACTCTGACGTCACATCAAGGCATAGGAGCACATCTGGATTGAAGTAACTGCAGATCTGCTGATGACATCAGGAGGAAAGATGTGAGCATCAGCAGTGACGTCATCCGTGGCCTGCAGATGGCAGCCTACAGCAGCCGTGACATCATAGAGGGTTACCTGCGGTGCAAGCTGCTGGATGGGGGCGTGGCCTGGCGTTTCCCCAAGCAGAGGCATTTCCAGTTCCCTTGGAGATCTGAGGAGGGCGGGGCTCCGGGGCCCCTGCAGCTGGCCCTGCCCCGCCTGCTGGCGGCGTTACGGAATGCCAGCGATGAGCTAGAGGGGCGTTATGGCAGTTCCCTGCATGGCCAGGTGGCGGCGCTGCGTCACAGGGAACTCGGTGGCGCCGCAGCACGACAAAGCCTGGCGCTGATCCGGGACGAGCTGTTCAGGGACGGAGTGAACTGGGGACGAATCGTGGCCATGATGGCGCTGGGAGGAGCCCTGAGCGCCCAGGCGGCCCGGACGGGCGAGACGGGTCAGGTGGACGACATCGCCGACTGGATGGAGGAGAGCCTGGAGGCCGCCGCACTGCGTACATGGATCCATGACAACGGAGGATGGGTGAGAGCTTCCTTCCTTCCTTCCTTCCTTCCTTCCTTCCTTCCTTCCTTCCTTCCTTCCTTCCTTCCTTCCTTCCTTCCTTCTTTCCTTCCAGGGGTGGAGCTAGAGGGCTCCAGGTGATTGGTTGTTCCTATGGTGATGTAAGCGAAAAACGAGGCGATTGAAGAGGAACCAACCGACCGATGAACGTTTCTATCATAGAAAACAATCAGTTCATTCAGTCTATAGATCTGTTAAACCAATAAACCAGATTCTGCAGTGAAAATCCAGGGATCCCTTCCA